TAAACTAGATTAGTCAATATGGAAATACTAAAAATCTTCAACTTTTAGTAATTTCCTACAGCATAAATGTTACTCTAGTTACTAATTTAGTAAATTGTTACGTCAAATTTGGTCACATATACAATATATAAATTGTTTTGTCAAACATTTTACAGATGTCAACCGTCAAAAAAAAACATAATAATTTTGTGATATATTATTTATTGTATATATTAGACAGTGAAAGTAATAAAAAAAATACTAAGAATACACGTATTTCTATACTATAAAAGTCAAATATAAATAAAAGTTGAAATTCATGGGAAAGTAAGATCTCGGAACTTCCGTTTAGATTCTAGATATAAAATCGTCATTCTTCTGAAAAACTGGGAAATTTCGTGCATTCTTTTCGTTTCGAACATGCGTTCCTCCCCGAAAAATTGCGTAACCGAAGTGGCATCCTGCGGCGGCAGATCTCGACGATAAGGACCACCCCGTTCCCAGGCGAAATCCCACCAAACTTACATCATTTACCATCAAACAATTTAATGACCACCCACATTTATACATATGCAAAAAAAAAAGATGAGATGAAAATTATATAAAAAATACATGCAACCCTTTAATTATTTAATTATTTGAAGAAATTTAAAAACGGACTTTGATGTGGGCCCAATTTTTCGGTTTGAAAATGATGTTGTCGAGGATAAGATTGCTATCGGCTTATTATAAATAATATACTCTTTAACGATTATTAACACGCGAACGAGTTTGAAATGGTCTTCGTTTTACGGGTGTGTATTTCGGAGGGTGTTAAATGGGTGATTAAAAACCCGCACTTGGGTGCGTGAAGATGTATTCACGATAAGGCTTCGCGAAAGATCGACCAGCATGCGGTTTCACACCATTTTCCTTCCGATCGCCAACAGACCCGCCGATACCGATCTTCGAATTTACAATTGATGCTTGGTAACAATTGGCCCGATTCGAAATAAATCTGTTTCAAGTGCTCAGATACGTATTATAATTACCACCATTGGAAATCTAGTCCCTTTTTGTGACCAATTTAAATAATATAAATCTCGCTTTAAACTCACTTTTCATTCTCGGTCCCCTTCGTCAATCCTAAGGGTTTGCGCGATTAAGTGGATAAGTCTCTTTGTGTTCGATGCACTATTAATATTTAACATTTTACATATATTTTTGAGGATTAGGACCTTAAATATGTTATTCGATAATGTGGAAAAGCATATTATAAAAGAACAGGAAATTGAGGATAAAGGATTTATACATCTACCTGTGTATATTCAATTGAATATTACAATTTTACTTTTAATACATTAAGATTAAATTAACTGTAAATCCAAGAATAAGTAACAATTAGGACTTCATATAAATTTCATAAAATGGTCTATGCATTAAGTGTTTATAAACATTTCTTAATAAACGAAATTGAATCGAAAAAATTAGTTTTTTCAATATTTTTGTATATAAACTTTTGTTAAATAATAGCTGATTTTTTTTTTAGTTAACAATTAAATATTTAATTTATTTACACTTTACTTATATTATTAGTAAATGTTAAATTTAATTAGAACTGAAACTAAATAAATTTGGATCATTATTTCAATTATTAATTAGTAAATCATAACTTATTTTAAGACCTTAATTTGTAAATCATAACCTCTTAACTATAAATGTGCTAAATGGAAGTTTCCTATGAAATGAACAAGAAAACAAAGTTATAAATTGCAAAATTATTCATATTATTTTTCCGGTTAAAAACCGGTTAATTTGTAAATTACCGGTAATTTTGTGTAGTTGTACTCAAAAATTCTTAAAACTATATTGTATTGCTTTCTACTTATTATTGTTATCAAAATTTAAACATTTGCTCTCGTCTAATACACTTGTTAAAACTAACTACGGATTTTCCAAAATATGAAACATTTCATTTTCATTATTTGCTACATTTTGGCATAAAGATGGATAAAGAAAATAATGCAGTGTCTCCATTCACCTTCAATGTACAAATTTCTTGCAAAAGTTATCGAATTCAATGTCACATTTGATCCTTGATAACGGATTTATACAATTATGATCTATATTAAATTGCTGCAAGAATTTGAAATATACAATAGTGCATGCATTTTTATAACATTATTTTTGTTTATGCAATATACATTATATTGTACACATGCTCATACACATTAAGACAATACTTTACAAATTATTTATTAAATCCAAATAATATTTATAAAAATTATATAGTAAGATATAATAATTATAATTTAACTTAAAATTATAAGCAATTTTTAGAATGATAAATTTAATATAGGCAACTCTATATACACGATAATATGTTCCGGATATTACAAATATTATGTAAGTTCTTTTAAGAGTTTGAAGGTGGCAGCACTTACTAGTAAGCTGTTTCAAGTTGACAATTCGAATGTATGGCGTCGTTATAAATATAATTAACACATAATTGTATTTAAAAAAAACTGATTCTACATTATTATTACCAGTGTACGTGATTCCATTAGTGAGTATTATTTACTATTGTTTATTAGACATTATAACATTATTATAGAATTATTAACAAATAATTAAGCTTTTAAAGTCTACTTTGTGATGTATTAACGCATTATATTAATATATTGCATTTGGTTTTAAAATATGCACAATTTAACCACGCAAATCTAATTACTTAACTCATTAAAGTTAAGCAACGACCTGTTGTCATTCTACTTTAAGGGATGATCTTCGCATTAGTATATAATATCGCCACGAGGTGTCGTATATTAGATAACAATATTTAACTTAAATTGTGGCAATATTATAAAAAAAATGTCAAATTCTCATTGAATTAAATAAATCTGCAATGTATATTTATATTGATACAACATTAACGATTTTAGAACAAAATGCCTCTTTTTGGATTAAAAATTCATAAGGAATTGCGTTCATTAAGTTCGAGGCAATTAATGGAAAGAAATAATCATGACTACAGTACTGTTACTGATAGGAGAAGGATAAAACATAGACGCAAAACAAATGAAAACCAAATGAAATCGAATATACTAATAATGAAATCTCAATGTACCCAGAAAGTAAAGAAATGGATAGAAATAAATAATAATTTACTCGAAGACAAAGAACCAATTAAAGGCGCTTACGTAGATTCAGTTCTGTTATCTCAAAGAAGGATCCAAGAAATCCATTCGTTTCTCGATAATCCTCAAGATAGCGTTGAGTTTCCCGATAGTTCTCAAGACATTTGTCTCGAAACACCAGTTAGCGTTGAGTTTATTTCTAGTCAAGAAAGTAATAATATGGTTGAATCGAATAAAGAAGTTTCCTTATGCAATAATACTAAAGAACTTGAGGGAACAAAAACCAATGCAGTTATATCGAATATCGAAGAGTTGTTGGAATCAATCGCTTCAAATTCCATAAATTTAAGTACAAGTAGTAAAACTCCAAAAGAAATATCCCAGAATTTATTTGTTATTAATAATTTAAATGAGATACAAGATGATTCATTGCATAGCCAAAAATGTGACGTTGAATTCGATAATTTTTTGCAAGAAATTTGTACATTGAAGGTGAATGAAAACACTGCAGCAGCAATTAATGACAACGCTTTGTTTTCTTTATCCAAAGTGAATGTATGCCAAAATGTAGCAAATAAAGAAAATGAAAAATTGGTAAAGAGTATTTTTCATGAGAAGGAAAAAGATAAAAACGTTGAAACCAAACGAATGAGAGTTAATAATAAATTATTTGCTGAAAAAGAAGAAAGTTTACAATCAACAAAAAGTATTGATTTTTGTAATGTATTGTTAAACACCAGCGATAATATTAAGGAAAGTCAAAAATCAAATAAATCTGAAAATTTTCTTAACGTTTCAAATGCTTCTACTAAAGCAAATTCTGTTGATAGTTTATTTATGTTTAAACCAGCTTCTCGACTTGATTTAGGATTATTTAATAAGCCGTTTCGCAATGATGGATTGAATGTTACAAGAATTAGTAATAAGAACGACGAAACAATATCTGTAAACGATGTGAGAAGCGTTGATTATTTTCAAGAAACACAAACATCTAGTGATAAATTGACAAATGAGAAGGAAAAAATAAGGATGGATTTAAGTTATACACATAATGATGTGTCTAACAAGAGCCGTAGTGGATGTAGCACTTTCAGCAAAGACTATAATATTAAGGAAAACCAACAATCAATTGAATTAATAGATAATAGTTTCAGTGGAAATGATTTTGTCGAGAAAAATCAAACTCATTCTCTTAACGTTTCAAATGCTTCTACAAAAGCAAATTCTGTTGATAGATTATTCATATTTAAATCAGCTTCTCAACTTGATTCAGGATTCTTTAATAAGCCGTTTCGCAATGATGAACAGAGTGTTACAAGAATTAGTAATAAGAACGACGAAACAATATCTGTAAACAGTTATGATGTGAGAAGCGTTGATTATTTTCAAGAAACACAAACATCTAGTGATAAATTGACTAATGAGAAGGAAAAAATAAGGATGGATTTAAGTTATACAAATAAAGATGTGTCTAACAAGAGCCTTAGTGGATGTAGCACTTTAAGCAAAGACTATTTTTTAGATAGATGCAATAAAACATGTGAAACTTTAATAAGCGAATCCAGCAAAGCTTCGAACATTAATATTACAAAAAAGGTATTGCGATATGCTAGTTCTGTTACAAGCAGCAGTTATTTTTTAGAGAAGCCTAAAATAAAAAAGGCTAAAAGAAGAAAATGCAGTGAAATTAACAATAGTTCTATTAAAGTTAAAGAACAATCAGATTATGCTCATTCAAAAACAAGTAGCGATTATTTTTTAGATTTAGATGAAAGAAAGAAAATAATTAATATCGATAAACAATTGGAAAGTATGAAAATGTTTAATAAATCATATGATGAATATTCAATTCAAAATTCTCAAGAATTAGAGTATCTTAACAAGAAAGATATGTTAATTTTGGATATGGATAAATTTCTTGAAGCTAAAGATTTGAGTCAGAGTAATAAAACTATACCTGACTGCATTATTTCACCGATGTACACGTTTTCTGAAAATTATATAGATTTGAACGAAGCTTTCACTAATGTTGAAATATTTATATTGAAAGTTAACGCTGAAATGGATCTTCAAGAGGACGAAGAGAGTCTTATAGATTACGTAAACGCTCAAATGTCCGATGTTAAGAAACATCGAATAACCAGTAAAAATAATTTAAAAATTGATTTTCAAATTACTGATAAAAAGTTACAAGCAAGCATTGATAGTATGTTGAATGACAAGGAGATGGTGTATACTTCGTGCGATTTTATCGAATACAAGGATAATACTAATTTAATATTAAGGAAAATAATCAACATTTTCAGTGCATTATGTAATAGGGTTTTGAAGAACGAAAAACTTGAACTAACTTGGCAAAAACCTAATTATTGGAAGGACGTTGATTATTTAGATAACATGTACGTATTAATTAATATATTTGCAATTGATTTTAATTAATTATATTGAAATATAGATTAGTCTGCAATAAACCTAATTCGATGACGCATACAAAACTTAACAATACAAGGAGCAAAGCGAGATTTACAATTATGATATATTTGCTTAAAAAGATCTACAATTTGCTGATGGTTGATTCTCACATCAATCAAAGGTTTGTTTGCATTCATATTTATGTGTATCATCAATTAATTTACTTCTTTTTTTTTAGAGAAATATACTATCAAATTATTAACTACGTTAGCTCGTCAAATCAAGTTTTTAGTGCGATAGATACTGTAAGTGCACTGTTGAAAGAAGGTACTTATGATTTGAAGATATTGTCAACAAGCAAAGGTTTGGCTTTTGGAAATTTAAAAATAATTATGAAAGATGGAGAAGTTATAAAATATAACAAAAAAGGCGGTAAATACTTCTTATACATATTATACATAAATTGAAATAATTCTATAATCTTGTAATTAAAAAAAAATATAATGATTTTTTACATATTTTCAGGCACTTTGATACCAAACATAGTAAAGAATATAAAGGATATTGAAGCCTCGGCATTTTTCATACTCGTAGTTGAAAAGGATGCAGTTTTCCAGAAGTTGTCGCAAGAAAATATTAGTCAAAAAATTGGAAGGCCTTTCATATTAATAACTGTAATTTAATAATGCCATATTGTTATGTAATTTATTCTTTTGTTTGTTTCATTTTAGGGTAAAGGATATCCAGATTTCTCTACAAGACTATTTTTGAAAATTCTTTGGAAATTATTGTCCATTCCTATATTCATTTTAGCGGATTGCGATCCGTACGGAATCGAAATAATGCTGTGCTACAAGTATGGATCATTGGTAACTATATTCATTTGGAAAAGAAATATTTACCTTAGAATAACAAACTTTGCAGAGTTTACATATGTTTGAGGAGTTGGCTGTACCGAACGCCCGCTGGTTAGGGGTGCATCCATCAGAGTTGAACCTGTTGAATATAGCTTGCAAGAAGATGACGGAAAATGATATGAGGAAGATACGGTCGATCGCGAAAAGGAGTTACATGCGTTCAGAACCACGGATCGGAGAAGAACTGAAATTGCTATTGAAGAAAAGGCAAAAAGCCGAAATCGAGGGTTTGATTAAAAGCAATAACTTTTTAAGTAACTTTTATCTGCCCAACAAGTTATACACAAAGGATTTCATGTAATTAATAAATGATTAATCGTTGATTAAGACATAAACAACGTTTAGTTAATTATTGTTAAATCCGTCGTCCGGATCAACGTTGTACAATTGCATCAGAGTGGTAACATCCAGTTGATAAATTGTTTTCTCCGCGCCATTCATTTCCAAATTGTCAATTTCCTTTGTAATTTGTTTTTCGAGATCCGCCAACAGCTTTTCGTCGGCGTTCAAGGTCGGCCTCTCACTGCACTCGTCGATCGATGTGAACGGACAGGTTCTTTTCAGCAGAAACGTACTTTCATTAGAGTTAACATCTCGCACGCAAACTGTATTACTTTTAGAATTTTCCGTATGTTTGTAATAAGTGTTAACGTCGATGTTGTTTTGGAGGAGACCGAAGTCTCCACAAGAATCGGCTTCGAAATTCCTCACCGGTTGAATCGTCTCAATCGAATTATGTCTGCTGCCGCGAAACTTGTCCAACTTTCGGTTGTCGCTCAGATTCGTCTCTGACATGGTTAAATCTATGACGCTTTCAGCGTTCGGAAGGGTTTTGTAAGGGAAGATCGTTCCCACGTATATCACCGAATCCTTGGATTTGACACCTTTCAGTAGTATTTTATCTTCCGACTTCAATTTTCGCGAAATCCGCTTTGTTCTCGCGAAGAGTTGCTTCTTTAGTCGTGTTCTCGGAGAAGCATTATATATGCTGCTTTGCTTCAATCTCGCAGAGGCTCTCCTCAGTTTCTAAAATACCATACATTTTACTTATTACTTTCAGTTTACTCATTACCACTTACCGATGCATTCATACTAATGAAATCAATTGTAATTAGCTATTTATATGATTGTATTACAAAAACAACTAGAATCACCAGAAATTTTGGATTCTCTTTCAATTAATGTATTATACGTTACAGGATGCTACTTGATTTATTTAAAAAAAAAACTATTTATTTATTATGTCAATATTGTCAAAAAATTGTTATTTTGTTAGAAATATAAACTTTTGTCTTATTTATTGTTATTGATTTAAATTTAATTTAATTATATATTTAATCAGAATTTATTTGATAAATGTTTTTATTTTCAAAAATTGCATAATTTATTGATCCATAAATTCAAATCTTTCAAAGTTCAATTCTATAGACATTTATATTAAACTATTATTATTATTAATTCACATACTTTACCTTCATTTGAATCCTTTTAATTTTATAACAAAACAATTAAAACGATTTTAGTTTATTTTGCATTTCCATAATTTAATTTCAATTTCTTTTGGTTTAATCAGAAGTCGGAGCAGAACCATTTCTACAAGTATATAATAAAAAATCGTATGCAGTGTTTGCTTAGAGCCGCATTTTTCAATGAAAAAGCCGCAGGTTGTTCGTAGTTGACAATCCATTTGGTGCAAAATAAACAAATCAAATGCAGATCGTACAGGGTTTAATAAAATTACAAACAGATGAGAAATAATTAATAATATTTATTATAACGATTTATTACAAACATGGTTTGCGATTCATAATATCCTCATGTTTCCTTTTTGTTGTTAATATAATACAAAAACGAAAACATTTAACATTTCTTTATTTCAATTATTATTATTATTATGTTTTATCCCCTTGTATTCTAACATTGCGGTTCTATATCAAACAACAGAATTAACACAAACGCAAATATAAAAATTGGAATTTAATAATTTTATCCTTGGTGTTCTGCACATTATCCCTTACTCAACATACATGTGTACAACAATTATGTTAGGCTACACGTAATCATCTTTACACATTTTCTTTTACTCGTTTGATTTCGCAACACAATTGACACTTAAATTTTGAATCGATCAAAATAACAATTAGGCAAGTTTTTTTTTTAAATTACATTTCCTCGATTTCATCTTTTCCTTGTTGTAGAATTTAGAAAATGAGATTGGCTATATTTCCGAAAGTTAGGAACATCTGAAGTTTATTTTTCTTTGATTTTCTTTATATTGACAGTATTTAGGTTTACACATTCTTTCCGTTTTCCGTAATTTTACGTAAATAAATAATATTTTTAGCCTAAAGTTATAATAAGCCTTGGTTCATAATCTATTAGGATGATTCCGATTAAAAAATTCGCGCAATAATTCTCAGTTATAAAAATCTCTATTAAAAATGTTTTATATATATGTATTATATTCATATTTGAACCAGGTTTGAAGTAACAAAGTAATAGAATCAATGAATTGTTGGTATTTAAAACTAAACGTTTTCGCTTCATGGATTATGAACCAATTTTCAGATTGTCTTTGCGTTTGCTGACTTTTTATTTTAATTTCATTAAAAAGCACAGCAACTAGTTGATCATCTAATAGCATATTTTTTTTTGTTATTACTTTACCTTTTTTTATTCGTTTTTTGGTTTCATTAACTTCTTTTCTTCTTCTTTAATAATTTTCTTTACTCTAGATTTATTTATTATTTTTTTTCGCTTCGTTTGTCTTTTTTAATATTCACATTTCACAACCATTTTAGTGATTTAGTTGTATAAGATTTCTCTTCTCGAAAGCTATAATAATAAAGATAAATTTACATCAATTTAAGCCATAAATGATTTGATTCACATTTTTTTTGTTTATTTATAATCTCACACAAATAGATAATTGACTTTTTTGTTTTTTTTTTCTTCATTACATCATTTTTTTTTTGTTAATTTCACATATTCTTATTTCCACTCACATAGATAGAAGAGAAAGTTGTGGTAAAGATAAATTTGCAAAACAAGACAATCAAAAAAAAATGTTAGGAAACTGAGCTCACGGTCGCACCTATGAAGTAAGTCGAAAGTTAGTCAGTTTTTCATTTATACATACCATTCTTTCTATTGCTTAGATATAATTTAGTATTCTTCCAATGAATTCAGGAAGAAGGATATTCATCCGTAACAATCTTATGTATTT